CGGAAACGCACAACCTCGGAGGAGACCATGCTAACAAAGCTCTTCAGTAGGGGTGAGTACACGAAGTGGCCCATGTAGGCTTGTCGCATGAAAACGTCACTGTACCATTCCGCGTACTGGGAGGTGAGTGTGGGTAGGTTCTGCATAAAACAGCAACAACAAAAATGCAACTGATTAGAACGTGTGCATAGTCCAAAATTTACTAGCTGAAGACCTCATTATGCAAACAAGCAATCAGCACTTAGCCATGCAGTGTACATAACAATAACTCTGACCATGACACAAGTACCACGTGCAACCCCTGGAGACACTGGTTACCATGGCTAATGAGCGTGTTTAAAATACAGTGAAACCTCGGTTAACGGGTTTTTATCCGTTCCGGCATCGAACTCATCGTGTGAAACGTTCTTCTTGCGAAACCTAGCCAATTAAATTGCATCAGTTCACTGGTTGACCTGCAGACGACAGAGGACTCACGCTCAGGGAGCATGACTCGATGGCGGACACAGGCAGACTCACGAACACGGACTAAGAACTCGTTAACTGGACTGAGGCTCGCTAATCGAAACACATTTTCTGTTAGTGGCTCGCTCATTACCCGCAATGCTTGTAGATGGGGTTGCTCGCCACTGTCCACTGTTTTAACTAAAGAAGAAGGCTCCTCTCTAGCCGGAATTATTGTTTTATTCAGCTGAGCTTTCGATAAAGTTGGAACAAAATAAGCACCAGCTAAAGGGGGCAAAAGTAGTTTAAGCAGTGCACGTCATATACCCCTAGTCTCAGCATTTTGTCCTACGGAAACGGGGGTTATAGGGTTTTTTGGGATGGGGAAATAGGATAGGCAGGGAAGGCAATTTGTAGAAGCATGTGTAAAGTGAAAAAATGTAGTCGAAGTTGCTTCCCGTGGCCGCTGGGAGAAAATTCTAACTTCAGAACCGTAATTTGAACCTTAGGTAAGTTGAACTAGACGACTTCCTAACTACCATTTCTACTTTTCAGGAATTTCAAGAAACCCGCAGTTAGATAATCGGGTTTTTCGGCGATACGTTAAACGATAATACAGATGAGGAAAATCTACAGATAAAAATCAAAAACATTTCTAAATACGGTAAAATAAAAATGCATATAGCAGTTATTAAAGTATACTCTGCTGCCTATTCTAATTCCTCAGCCATAAAAAGCCTATAACTACCGTTTTCGTAGGACAAAATTCTGGGACAAGGGATATATGAGGTGCACTACGTAAACTACTGTTGCCGCTATAGGATGTAGGAGCCAGCGAAACCCGTCTGCAAGTGACTGCACAAGATTCTGTATGCCGGTGCCAGATCGATAAATCGATTGACTGAATTCTCATCAGAGGTTCAGGCTTCAATCAATTCCCGGTTTGTCTTGCTTCTGGAGTAAGCTATTATCTTCGTGGCTGCCAGGTTAAACTCGAGACCCGCTTCGTAGGTGTGGGCAGCCACTTGTGATAATCCGTTACCCCGTCTTACAGCCAGCTTATGCTGGTTTGTATGCGATCCAGGCATGCGCCCAGTCTGCCCTGTGTAGTTTAGAGGACAGTTTAGGTACAGGGTACGATACACTACACCCGACAGCTCACTAGCATCGCGTCGATCCTTGATTTTCAGGACCAAGCCGCTCATTATAGCTCTGGCTGGATGCGAAATGTTTCATCCCGACCTACGAATGCAAAGCGTTATGCAAGGTTAAAAGTAATTTCAATGTTTTGCAACATTCCGTAAATTAACTAGCTCTATATCATTGAAAGTAATATCATGCAAGTAAGAAAGCATCCTTTTTTAGCCACTGCTCCCTCCCCCGAGTTAAATGAAATTGTTGATTAATGATACGAGGGCCAAGCTGTACAAAAAAACACGCTATTTCGTGCCTAACGGAAGTAACAGGGCGCTACATGCTGCTTTCCAATCCAGCGTGAAGTGAAGAAAAAAACAGGGCAATCACCTTTGTGGGATCTCGAGGCTGTGTGTGGTTGCCGAAGACGTTGGAGAAAATAGTGACCACATCGATGCGCACAAAATCCTCCAGTTCAATGAGTACCTCCATGAGGGCGCGAGCTCGCCGGAGCATTTCAGAAGGCTTGGTAATCCGTCGGAGGGTGGGATCAGTCTTTTCGGTGATCCTGTAAGATGAGACCAGAAATTTATTTCCACTTCTATAAGTCCTCAGAGT